TACCTTGTTTCTTCCCTCTCCAATATTTATTCACTGAAAGAGACAAAGGGACAAAGAAACAGCAACATAATGTGGTCGTGGTAATGATGAGGATGGGATTTGGGCCCCAGAAAGGAAAAACCCTGGACTTTCCCACATGGGAAAGGTGTCAGACATGGCCAAATCTCTGGTGTTTGCCTGAGGCTATAATCCCATCAACTGGCCTTTCATTGTGGCTACACCCAATCTCCCCTCCATCGTCTTGCCTCCCTATGGCCCCAGGCCACTTCCCATCCTAGGTCCCATCTAGGCTTCATTTCCCTGGAATTCCATTACCTCATAGACTACTTGGCCACTCCTAGATCCCTCCCACAGGCTTTCTGTATATAAGGTCCATCTTGTCTCTATTAAGATCAGATTCTTATAATCTAGCCAGTAGTTTACTAATGTTCAGACTCCTTAAGAGTCTGCCCAATATGATGGATGTTCTAATAAACCTTGTCTTTGGCTGAAGGAAGGCTTGGGTTGAATTCTTTCGGCCAGGACCCTTGTGTTGTGATTTTGGGGTCCCAGGACCCCTGAACCCCTAAACCGCATCAGTAACATGATGGCTATAGTGGAGTTACTTCCACAGTGGCTGCCTCTCTATCCACTTGGAAGTTCACAGTAATTCTTGCTTTCCTTGACGCAAGTGAGGAGAGCTCTGTTTCAACTGTTTGAGTCTTTTGTATGCCAATTAAGCCAATAAATGACAGGGAATTTATAATCTCTCAAGGCAATCCATTCTACTTTTTGGACAGTACTAACTGATCAGGTCTAGAGGTTTAGGGGTGCGGGTGATGAGGATGGGATCTAGACCCCAAAAAGGAAAACCCTGGACTTTACCACATGGCCAAATCTCTGGCGTTATGAGGCTATAATTCCATACCTCCCTCCCACCCTTAATCCTATCTAGGCTCCATTCTCCCTTGGCCACCCCTGGAGTTCTATTACCTCATAGACTACTTGGCCACTCCTAGATCCCTCCCACAGGCTTTCTGTATATAAGGTCTATCTTGTCTCCATTAAGATGCTGGGATTTTTATAATCTAGCCATGATTTAGATTCTTATAATCTAGCCAATAGCTCACTAATGTTCAGACTCCTTATGAGTCTGCCCAATATGATGGATGTTCTAATAAACGTTGTCTTTGGCTGAAAGAAGACTTGGGTCAAATTCTTTTGGGCAGGACCCATGTGTTGTAATATTGGGGTCCCAGGACCCCTGAGCCCCTAAACCGCATCACTGGGACCCCAAAATCACAATACGTGGGTCCTGCCTGAATGAATTTGACCCAAGCTTTCTTTCAGCCAAAGACACATTGGGAGTCAATGTCATTCCTATTTGTCATGCTCCTGATACGAAAAGCAATTTACTCCTATGTATTGTCTTTTCTACCCTAGTCTGTATAACCTTCTGGAACTCTGTTTTTACTGCTTGCTTAGATAAATGTCTGCTAGCTATTTGTGATTATCCTTTCTATAACAAGAATTTGTTGTGAGGGAACTAACCTGGTGGAGAGTAAGCTAATTATTACCCTTGGTTTTGGAGTAGAACTACATCTCCTCGCCCCCCCCCCCCCAAATGACTAGAGAAAGGATTTTATTCTGAACTCTAAATTTGGGGAGGGAAGGAGTGATCTCCCAGGAATATGAATCTTCCTACTGTACTTTAAGGTACAAATCACAGTCTCTATTGGAGACTTGGTATGGGGCTTTCTAGATTCCAAATCTTTTAAAATATATCCTTGTACCCCAATTTAAACCCTTTGACATGATCCAATCTATATTTCACTTACATTTTGGGAAACATATTTTTATTATCCATTGCTCCTAGTTCTGCTTTCTGGAGTCAAGTACAAGTCCAATCTCTTTTTGATTTGATAATCCTTGGAATATTTCAAAACAGCTATAGCATCCTCTTTTTTGTCTTCCTTTTTGCAGGATAAATATCACCAGTTTCTATAACTAGGACTTGTATAGATGTAAAGGCCTTAAAATCCTGCTAGCCTTCTAGAGGATCTCTAATTTGTCAGGGTCCTTTGCTTTCACTTGTATCACATTGGGGGAGAGAAAGGGGCGGGGAGGAGAGGAGAGAAGAGAAAGGGAGAGGGAGAGAACACAGTGGGATTTCCATCTACCTGCCCCCCCCCCCCCACTAGGTACAACCCTGGGAGACATTGGTGGAAGGTTTGTAGCCTATGGAGGTCAGGCAAGATGGCAAGAGTCCTGAATATTTCAGAGGAAGAAAAAGATCAGCTTGGAATAACTGACATAATACTATTGTTTATTTAGGAAATCAGAGAACTAACAGAAAAAGGAGAACAAAGCCACCGTGCCAGCAGGGGCCATCCAGGTTGTAGGTAAGATAAAAAAAACCAAACCATTGATTAGAGGTAGAAGGAACGTTAAAGATTTTCCATTCCAATCCTACTGTCATATGTAGAAATTAAGACTCAGAAAGGGGAAGTGATTTGATCAGTCATACAGACCCCCACTCCCTTCTCTTGTACATCTCAATCACTTAAATCTTTGCTGAATTTAAGTGGTGGAACTGGGACTTAGGTTAAAGATATCTGACGGAATCTAGCGCATGGTAATTAAGAAGGTCAAAGTTTACAAAACAGCAATATTACAACAAACCTGTATTTAAAGAAATCACTTTAAGAGAAAATAAAAGGTTCAGGAACACAACAGAAAGGAAAGGAAAGGAAAAGAAAGGGGAAAAGAAGAAAGGAAAAATGAAGGAAGAAGAAAGGAGCAATAATAGTATAAATTAGAAAATTGCTAGAAAGCTGTATTGAAGGGGATAAGAAGGGTGATAAAGAATGTCACGGGGCACTGAGCATGAGGATATGGAATAATCATATTGGCTGGTGAGTCATTGTTGAAGGCAAAGCCTGCCCTAACAGATGGCAGAGAATAACACACTTCTATTTCAGGCTTTTGTGTATGTAGAGTAGGGGAAGAATAATGATCATTTTAACACTCAGGAGATAGTCTCATCATGAGTCCAGAGGAGTCAATTAAGCTCTTAATGCTCCAAGAAACTCTAACACTGGGCTTTTCTTAACCTGGGGTCTTTAACTTAAAAAAAAAAGTTTCAATAATTATTTCAATTGGTTTCCTTCATAATTTTATATATTTCACTATATGCCTTTAAAGACATAATTCTGAGAAAAGGTCCCTAGGCTTCACCAGGCTGCCAAAGATATAAAAAGGTTAAGAACTCATGATCTAAGATTAAGTTACAGGGGAGTTGCCCATCACATTGGGAGTTTCCTTCTCTAATGAAACCTTAGGTACAAGTCAACAACACTAACAACCACAAAAAACACACCAGGAGAGCTAAAATAAATCACTTTATTGAAATAAGCTAAGAAGCCAAATCTATGGAATAGAAGATGGTTCTAAAATAATAATGTTTGTAGTGAGTATTCAACTTTGTAAATTTTTTTCATATCCATTATCTCATTTGATTTGGTGAGATAGGAAGGCCTGGCATTGTTACATAACTCATTTTACAATAAGGAAATGGAAATTCAGGGAAGTCAAGTGACTTGCTCTCTGCACTCCGCCCCCCCCAATGAATTAGTGATTCTCCTGGGACCATTAAATGGATCTCCAGATTCCTGGAGAAAAAGCCTCTTTCCACTGTAAACTAAATTGTAATCCCTTGACAGCTGAAATCAGTATTACACTTTTGCTAAGCTGCATACGGTCTAACACAGAGCATCGAACACAATAAACACTTATGTCTATGCCTCTAGAAAGACATAAAAATTAATGGCAGGGACTATATTTAAGTTTTGTATCTTCCTAAATGCCTAAAATAAGTTGTTAAGGCATACAGTAGTTGCTTAATAAATATCTATTAAGTTGAAGGGGCAACAAGGTATAGTGGAAAGAAAGCTAGTTTCAATATCAGATCCCACCTCCACTTTCTGGCTGTGTGATTCAGGGCAAGTCACCTAATCTTTCCAGTGCTAGGTTACCTCTCTAAGATGACAGTTTTTAGAGAAAGTGCTCCCTGGCATTGGCAAAGGGAGTTTCCTAATCAGGCAGTTGTCCTTATCAAAGAAACCATAAGCCCAGAACCTATTCCCTAATTCTAAAATGCTGGAGTCAGGAAGATTTGAGTTCAAACTCTGCCTCAGTCACTTACTAGTTGTATGACCCTAGGCAAGTCACTTAACCTCAGTCAGCTTCAATTTCCTCATCTGTAAAATGGGGATAATAAGAGCACCTAGGTCCCAAAGTGGTGAGGATCAAATGAGATAACAATTGTAATGGCTTTTCAAACCTTAAAGTGCTGTATAAATGCTAGTTCTTATTTTTATTATTTTCCTCAACTGTAAAATGGGGATAATAATAGCCTTTACTTTCCAGGGTTATTGTAAGGATCAAGTGAGATATTTACAAATCAGTTTGCAAGCTTTAAAGGACTGTATAAATGCTAGTTATTATTATTATTCTCAACTGTAAAATGGGGATAATAATAGACCCTACCTTCCAAGGTTGTTTTGAGGATCAAATGAGATATTTATAAAGCACTTAGCACAGTGCCTGGACCACAGTTAAGTGCTTAATAAATACTGATTATCATCATCATTGTTATTATTTTTCTCAACTATAAATTGGGGATAGTAACAGCTCCTACCTCCTAGGGTTGCTGTGAAGATCAAATGAAATTTGAATAATCATCCTCATCCTCATCCTCATCCTCATCTTCCTCCTCCTTCCTCAACTGCAAAATGGGAATAATAATAGTCTCTACCTTCCAGGGTTGTTGTGAGGATCAAATGAGATATTTGTAAAGCGCCTGGCAAAGTGCCTGGCAGATAGTAAGCACTTAATAAATGCTATTATTATTATTATTTATTATTGAAGCGTCTATGGGGGGCAGTTTCCGTCCAAACTACAACTCCCAGAAATCTTGGCGGCGCATGCGTGGCTTGCCCAACCCTGGGGAACGAGTGACGTCGTAGTTCGGTGGCGGAATCTGACCTGCTGGATCTGCCCAGTGTCCCATAGGGAAGAGCCAGAGTAGGTGCGTCCGTCGTTCCGTCCATCTGACCAGGCTCCCACATTGAGGATTTCGTGTCCTGCTGAGTTCCCCCGAAGGTGAGCCTGTGGAGGGGTGTGTGTGTGTATGTGTGTGTGTGTGTGTGTGTGTGTGTGTGTGTGTCTGTATATGTCTGTGAGGAGTGTGGGGTCCGGCAGCGAGGTCCTTCCCCTTCGAGACCCCTCGCCTTTACTTCAGCCTCCGTACCCCCCCGCCTCCCACGTATCCCACGGCCGACCCCCGGTCCCAACTCCAAGCCCATCTGCCTTTTCTATCCACAGTCTTCTCTTTAGTCCAGCGGGTTGCCGGACTCACTCTCTCTTGCCCTACGCCCCACCGGCCTCGCCCTTTTCCGCCCCCCTCTTACCTAACTCCCCCACCTCTCCCTTTCCCCCCCCCCCCCCCCCCCGCCCCGTCCTCAAAGTTCCCCGTTCTTCTCCAGCCCCGCCCCCGCCCCTTGCCCCCCGCTGTTTTCTGCCGCAGCCCCCAGACCCCCGCCCCCCGCTGCGGCCCCACCCTCTTCTGCCCCCCTGCCTTCCCCCAAACCTGCTCCTGTCTGCCCTCCCACCCGCCCCCCGCCTATCTCTGGATCCTTTTTACCACCCCGATCTTGTGGATACTCTCTGTCTCCCTGTCCAGCCCCATCTGCACATTTCCCCAGCCCATAAGCCTTCTCCTTAGGCACCTCTGACCCCACACCGTCGATTTTAGCCTTATTTTAATTAAATTTTATTTTTCTTAATCACCGAAAATAGTTGTCTTTTGCAGTCAACTAAAATACGTACTCTTTTCCTCCTCCCTCCCCCACTGAGAAAGAAGGAAAGAAAAATCCCCAGCTGACAAACACGTATGGTCCAGCCAAACAAATTTGCATTGACCATGTCCAGAAAGATGTCTCAATCTGCGCTGAGTCCGCTTCCCCTCCCGGACCGTCACTTTTGCTGTAACCTCCTGAAATTCCCCAGCTCTTAACTACCCCTCCACCCACTTTAACAGCCCTTAGTCTTGATGCTTTGGGCCCCCTGAAGCCTTTGTCTTCCCTCGAGCCCCAGCCACAACTTTAACTTCTTCCCCTATCAGTCCCACTCCCCAAATAGGAGGGGTTTCATTTTATTTGGAGCGGGTTTCGCTGGCCCCTCTCCCGGCTTCTGTGCAGTGTAGGCTGTGGGAAGGACTGAGATCCGGGATTGGGGATTTCTGTCGGTGTCACCTGACCGGGTTTGTTGTCAGCTCGGAAAGCCAAGGGTGGAGTGAACCAGGTCACCGGGAGCTGGACCGGCCTCGTGTTTTGTAATCTCCCTCCCTGGGAGGGAGATGTCCTAGGCAGCTGGAAAGCGGCACTATTGGAGCCGAGAGCCGGAGGAGGAGTTTCTAGGACCGTGTGTCTCCCCCTGCAGGTTACACTCGGGCAACAAGTCTGAGTGGTGGGAGGATGCTTCTTCTCCGAACGGTACCTGCCTTATGCAACCGGGACAGTAATAAGTGCCTTGAGGAATATATTGTGGCATGATAAATTAATCTGCTGTTTATAATGGGTTACACGAGGGGGTGGGGTGGAGGAGTATTGGCTGAAATTACACTTGTTATTGGAATTGGAGAAAAGAGGAGGGTTTGGTTTGAACATTTTTTAACCAGGAAAACAGGAAAGGGAAATTTGAATCTTGTAGAAAGTGACATTTTTCAACAAGAATGTAAAAAGCTTCATCACTGTTGCAGGAAAAAAAAAAATTGTCTTAAGTGATGGGCTTTACATGTAACAAATGGAGCACTATTTTCACAAAATAGAAAATGTTCTTTCTAGGTCAGTAGACAGTTGAGTTTTCAGAAGCAGCAGGCCACTCTAATTTTCCCTCATATCTGAAATTGAAGGTTACCTCGATTCTGAAGTCAGAACTGATTTTCTTGTCCTTTTTACATTTTTTTTTTACTTAGGCGTTTTATTAGTTGTGTCATTGAATTGAATAACTAGGGTTTTGTATTTTTCCAGGCAATTAATATTATTGAATACTTTTTTGAACAATTAATATTTGTCATCTTTTACCTTTGGAAAATACCTTTTAATTTTCTGACTGCTTTAGAAATTAGGTGTGAGGGAAGTAATGCATTTTCCTACAGGACCAGTCCAAGATTAAAAAAAAAAAAAAGCTATAATGACTATTAAAGACTTTGTTACAATTTTCCCAACATGTTTAAACTTTTTAGGTACCTTTCTTAAGTGACATTTCACTTTACTGAGAGTCTTGGGGAGGGGGAATGAGCTAAATTCATTTGGGGACACTGGTAAAATTGTGAAAGTGGGTCCCAAATGATTAGTGCTTTTTACAGTAGCTTTTTAGAAGAATGGGAAAGTGTAAGTTGCTACTTTTTCAAAGCTTTCTGCCTTCTGAAATATAATTTCCTTATTTTAAAAAAAACACGTAAAAATTTTGTTGATTTTTTAAAAAATGGAATAATAAAATATGATCAATTTAGATTGCCCAAAACATACTGCATTAAAATATTGATCTGAAAAAAATCAGTTTGCAAACTGTACTGTCCCATTGAACTGCCTCTTAGAAGACATGGAATTTTAGAGGCAGAAGGACCCTTAAAAATGAACTAGTTCATCTCCTCGTTTGACAGATAGTTACCTTCCTTATCACCCCCAGAATTTGTGAAAGATAATGAAAATTTAAAAAATCACCTTTTCATAAAATATGCTCTTGTTTTTTGGTATCATAGATCTAGAAGCATTTTCAGAAGCTCTTTGACCCAACCTCTTTATTTTATGGATGAAAAGACCAAGTTTGGGATTATTTACTGTAAATATTTTCTTATACTTTGCTGATTTTCTGGACAAGAGAATAGAATGCATTAGTTAATGTTTTTACACTTCTCTCCCAAAGGTGGTGCTTCCCTTACTACCTTTTCTTGTACTGGTCACACTTTCTCTTATATCCCCTACTTTTTTTTTGGTTAGGCAGTGGGGTTAAGTGACTTGCCCACTTAACCCATTAACAGCTTAACAGCTAGTAAGTGTTATGTGTCTGAGGTCAGATTTGAACTCAGGTCCTCCTGAATCCAGGGCCTGTGCTCTATCCACTGCGCAACCTCACTGCCCCTTCCCCTTACTTTCTGTTGGAAGAGAGGGAGTCCACTTCTACCCCCATTCTTTCCCAGACCGTCATTGGCTTCTTTCATTGCCTGTTTCAACTCCCTTGGGGGGAAGTCATCTCAACTCTCTACTGCACTCCACCTTAGATCCCTTTGCTTCCTTGTTCTATTGCTCCAACCCTAGAGCTTGTTTGTTTCTATTTATGTATTGTTAATAGAGTTGGAAGTAATCAGGAAACTGGTGATTGGTCAGACTACAAATTTATGGTATCTAATTTCAACTTGGCCTGCATAGCAGCTAGGCAAATATTCCATTCCTCCCTAATTGATTTACTCTCCTACTTTTTATAGCTACTGTTTCAATCCTTCCTCCTCCTCAAGCCTAAACTCTCTCCCTACCTTCTCCACAAAGGACCTCACCTTGTTCTTCACTGAAAAAATTGAAACCATTTGATAAAAACTCCCTGCCTGACCCTCATCTCATGTCGCTCAGATATCTTCATCCACTATCTTCCTCTTTCACTGTTGTCTTGATGAAGAGATAGCCCTTGCAAAGGCAAAGTCTTCTATATTCCCTCTTGGATCAGATCATCTTCCACCTTCTCAGCAAATTACTTCCACTATTATCCCTACCTCTTTCAATCTTTAGAGATCTCCAGTCTCTTCCTATCCACTGCCTCCCTCTCTCCTGTTTACAACTGAGTCTCTCTCCCCCTACTTCCCCTAATCTTTACAAAACTCTCAGTTAGCTATAGTCCTATATCTCTCTCTTCCTCTTCAGGGTTAAAATCTTTCAGAAAGCCATCTATAGTAGTTAAGTCAAATCAACAAGCATTTACTAAGTGTCTTTTATGTGCCAGACATTGACATAAGTGCTGGGGGTACAAAGAAAGACAAAAAACCTTCTCTTAAGGAGCTCATAGTTTTATGGAGGAGATAACATGCAAACGACTATGCACAAATGAGCTATATTTATGTTTATATCTTATATATGCACATATATGAGACATGCCTGTATATTACATATGATGTATTGGAGATAATCTCAGAGGAAAGGCACTAACATTAAAGAAGACTAGCAAAGACTTTTTTGCAGAACTTTGCAGACTTTAGCTGAGCCAGGAAGTAAGTGAAAGTGAAGAGTCAGGAGATGGAGTTTCATGTGGGAGGAACAGCATGGAGGTCTACAACACTTTGTTAATATACGTGAGGAGAGTAAGATATAGAAAGACTGGAAAGGTGGGAAGGAGTCAGGTTATGGAGGGCTTTAAAAGTCAGAAGGCGATACTAGAGGGGCCCCTGGACTTTATTGAATGGGGGGGGTAACATGGTCAGACCTTTGTTTTAGGAAGATAAAGAAGAAGAGGGTGATCAACACTGTTAAAGGGTGCAGAGTTCAAGATGTAACTTTAGAGAGTACAAATTTAGCTGAATGCTTAAGTCAGTCATGTCGAATTCTTTGTGACCCCACTTGGGGTTTTCTCCACAAAGATGCTGGAGTGGGTTACCATTTCCTCCTTCTCCAGCTCATTTTACAGGTGAGGAAACTGAAGCAAACAGTTAAGTGACTTGCCTAGGGTCAAGCAGCTAGTAAATGTCAGAGACCAGATTTGAACTCAGAAAGATGAGTCTTCTTCCTGACTCCAGGACTAGGGCTCTATCCACTGCACCACCTAGCTGTCCTAGAAGCCAGATTGCAGAGAGTTAATAAGAGTGAGAAAAAAACAAAGTGAAGGCACCTGTTGTAGTTGGCATTTTCAAGGAGTTTAGATAGGAAAGGGAGAAGAGATATAGGGCGGCTCTCCTATCCTCAAAAAGTTTCACTTGATCCGTTCATCTTGTAGGTGTGTCCACTTCTAAACCCTTTTCAGTATGACTTCTAATCCCAACATGCAATTGAAACTTTCTTTGACAAAGTTTCCTTGCCACTTTCTCAGTACTGATCTTCCTTGACTTCATTATTCTC